TCAGTCTTTGCAGTGATCATCATAGTCTCTGAGTCTTCTTAGTTTGTCACAGTATTAGTTTTCCCAGTTTAGTTATAGTCTAGTTTAGTCACGCTACCCCTGCTTTGTTTGTACACTTTGTCTTCAGCCATAATAAAGGCTCGCTTTCTGTTAAGTTCACTCCCGTCTACTCACCTGGGTCCATCACACACACCACCGCACGGCCTGTCTCCGCAGACCGTGACACTAAGGCTGAGATACAAAAGTGCAATGAAAAAAAAATCAATAAATGACTATAAAAAATATCCAATGCATGGATGTCTTTGTGTTGTTGCATTTTTCTTTATGCAGAATTGAACATTTTTTAACATCAAACTCAAGCAGAGTTTAAATAATGTTGCTATTGCTGCCACTGCTTAAATTCTGATCCACCAGCTGATCATATTTGAGTTTATCAAAGCTTTACTCTTTGAGCAGACAAGATAGTTGCATCACAGACATATGGGCTGTTACATCATACATCACAGACCTGCCGTCCTTGAGGCTATCCGTTGCAATAATATTTGATGCTGGGAGTCCTGTTGTAAATAGTGGCCAACTCGTCTCCAAACTGCTGTAGTGAATCCACCAGCATAAGACAAACTCAATATGTTTTATTTGGCGTGTTAATCACAGCCATCTGGCATCAAAACAGTCTGTTACTCACATTATTCACAAAGTGTGACATTGTTAGTTTCACAGCATGTTCTGATGGATAGCTCAAAATGTTTGTGGTCCAATATTGTAGTGAATTCGAGCATTCACTTCACACTCTCTGGGTTTTATTTTTGGCCTTTTCCAAAGGTATGCAGTAAACTGACATATGGATGCAATCCAGTGTGTCCCAGAGTGGCTTTTTGGCAAAGCTGTATAAGTGGGTGGGCAGCAACTGTCACTGTGGCTCTGCTACATTTATTCTATTGAACAAGTAAGCTGCTTGTCCTGTCAGTCATGTTTCAATGACCTTCACACAAGACTGTTGCAGACCTCTGTTACCTGCTCTTGTTGCATTGTCAGGTGTCAGTCTCAGTGACTGGCTAGACACACAGCCAAACAATGAGGTGGGCAGAAATGTGGAGATGTAGGCAGACAAACATAAAACTGAAAAGACAAACACACTGAAACATGGTTGCAGGGGAAGCAAGTAGAGAATGCCAAAAACATACACTGCGAGTAGACAGGAGACAGCCAGTCAGATATGCAGATAAACAGAGAAGCCTGTCGGCAGTCAAGCAAATATTCTTCCCAGCAGACAGATAGTTAGAAATGCAGACATTTTGCCAGGTAGCATGTGTTAGGCGCTTCCTCACACTATGGCTTTCTGAGATGTAGATAAATGCTGCGAGGGAAGCGAGCAGGGGCCCAATTGGAATTCGACTGCTACTTCCTCCAACTCAGTGATGAGTGAAACTCTGTGTTGAGTCACACTTGTGTCTGCAGAGAGTCTCTTAATTAAGGGGTAGTGTAGAATGTACCAGCAAGCTTTGGGAAGACCTGCCATTATTTAATAGTAACAGTACTTTCTGTGGGAATGTGCCAAGTAGGTCTATTAAGATGATGTCTATCATCTACAGAAAAAAGTGTGTGCACCATTTGAATTGTATTCAATCATTTAAAGCACAGACAGTATTCAGCATTTGTTGAAATTATTCTACTACTTCTTCATTCTTTTCTCCAACTTCTTCTTGACCTCTATAACCAGAATGGAAAATAGTAATCTTTATTTATAAAGTACTTAAAAAAAAGGTGGAAAGTGCTGAACAGAATATTTCAGATACATTCAGCAGAATAAAGTTAAGATTTGGTTGCTGAAAGCAAAAAGGAACAAATGAAGCAACATTATTTTACTGTAAGATTAAAAAAAACAAAACAACTTGTGGGTTTTTTGTTTTAAGGGAAGCCATTTCATTGTTCTTTATTACAGATGCAGTCCTACTGAAATAATCACATATAACTCAATTTTATGAATGCAGTTCAGTTCTGTGTTATTTATGTAGCCCCAAATCACAACAAGCAGTGTTGGGAAGGTTACTTTTAA